CCCAGGGAGGCGCGGGGCCCCCGGCCGGGCTCCCCGCTGCTGCTTCCTTTGTATGCAGTTTCCCCCCACTACATACAACACAAAACCATCAAAGAGAAGAAATAAGCAGACAAGAATTAATGAAGGATTCTTAACATATATCATTAAAGATTTATTACCGAAATTCCCTCGTTAAAGAAAACCAAGAGAGAGGCAGAGGGACCACGAGGGGAAGATGATTAATTACTTTAAAATACTGGCTTCACCTGAGACTTTCCTATTTATTATTGCCACTGAAGTTAAGATCCTGGATGCTGGCTAGGAGGAATTACTCTACATTGAAATGGCCAGGTTCTGTGTGTCCTGAATAATTAATTCTCCAAAGGCTAAACTTCCCGAGCTACGGCTCGCCTTCCCACGCGCTGGGGTGGGTTCTATCAAAGATAATACTGATAATGTGATGAATTCGTAATAGATATTGTTGTTGATTTATGTTGCCAGCGTTCCAAACATTTAGTATAAATGGTTTATGTAAAACGTGGTCCTTCCGATCCTGTCTGTGCCATCTCGACCCACGGCGCAAATAATCTGTTACTAGCTAAAAGGGCAAAGTTATAAAGATGGGATCAATGGCCTGGCGGGCTCCACTTCCCCTCCCCGAGCTCCGAGCTCTCCCGCCGCCACGACACCGGCAATCAGTCTTCGACTCCCGAAAAGTTGCACTAAGGGTACAAAAATGTAGCGTGATAAAGCACCGACGGGGAAGGAGCAGTGGCTCTGGCTCAACTAACCAAACAATGCCCGGAATAAACTGCAGAGAAGAACAGCGAAACAACTGAGCAGGGAGTCACCAAGAGCTGCAGATGCTCCAGAAGCTGCTAAGACCAAACAACCATCTGTCAGAAGTGGCAGGCAAATCATTAAATAAATGCATCAACATTCATGCTGCAGGAGCGTCGAGCAATGGATAAAACGACCTTATGAGCTCTACCTCCAACCCGAACATTTTAATGAAGGGCTGGGAGCATGTACAGCGTCTCATGTGCAAAGAGAGCACCGGAGCGAGGCGAGAGGCAGGGGCGGGAGAGGAAGGACCCGCTGGTGCGCTGCTGCGGCTGCCCACGCCGCGGCGGAGCCGCGCGCGCCACGGCGGGCAGGAACGGAGGGCGCCGGCGCGGCCAGCAACGACACCCTCGGATAGCCCTTTCCAGCTGCTGAATGAAGCCTCTCAGGCCTGAGGAGGTTTCCTCAGCTACTTTTTATCCTCTAGCAATTTATTCTTGCTATCCATACATAAGGTGGTATCCGATACCAACAGTTTTCCTAAGGCTGACCCAGACTGCGGATTCATCACACAAGTCACAGCTACAGCCAATATTAATTTTGGTCCGTGGGAGGGAAGTCTTTTTGTTTAAATTTTGCAAGCTTGCCTTTTCCCAGTTTTGTGGCTTATTTGTCTAGGCTGAGAGCAATCCAGAGAAACTGATCCACAGAATGAGTAATGAAGGAGCAGCCTTAATTTCTAACAAGAACAAACACACAAGTAACAATTGCTTCTTGGGCCCAAGATCTGAGAGCTGCTCAGTGTTTGGCTGAGACTCCTAATTCCCGGAACGTCAGAGGGAGCCGGGGACGTGCTCAGCACAGCGCAGGACTCGAGGCCCTGTGTTCAAACTAACGTTTTCATGCGTTCTCCAAAACTCTCACCTCTTTCACACAATCGTTATGATGATGTGCTTGCTATTACTCCATTCACAGCTGTCCAAAAGGAATTCTGAACGCCTATGTATTACGTTTGCAGGAAGAAAAGTGGGAAATAATGAGTTCCTGATTAACTACACAACCAGGAGGAAAAAAGAAAGAGGGAGAGAGAGAAGGAGAGAGCAAAGCAAGCAAACACTGGCTTCGGATTGATATAATCTGTATCATCTGCAGTGGGGCGTCCCGGAGCCTTTCCTAGGATGAGCAGGAGAGCTCTGGAGAGATCTGCGTTTGAGCCAGATCGAGAGAGACCTCTCAGCTGAGCGTCCTATCAGCTGCAGAATGACACCTCGCTTTGCTAACCCGGGGCGACAGCAAGGGAATTTCTCGCGCTCGCGCACAGCTTTTCCGCGCTTTCTCCAAGGCCCGCGCCCCGGCAGCGCGCGGCGGCTCCGGGCGCTTCCTGCGCCTCGCCCGAGGGCGCTCCACACAGCATCGCTCCAGCGCTCACTGCAGGACCGGGGCTATGGGCGCGCTGGGCAGGACTGGCCCGCGGAGCGATCGCTTCAGAAGGAGCAGTCTGTGCTCCGTGCTCAGGTGACCCTTATCGCTCTAAGGAATGAAAGGACGAAGCAAAACCAGGATTTTGCATTTCAGGTGTTTCGCGGTTCCAGTCGAACACCACCGTCCTCATGCAACCCGAGCTCCTCCAAGCCCAAGATAACACCCAGCTTGCTCCTCCTCACAGCAGGCACATCAGGCTTTCCTGACGCCGGTCCCGCTGTTGTCGTCCGCACATCCCAGAATACACGAGGCAGAGCGGTGCGGTACGTGGCGAGGCAGCCAGGCCTTCCAGAGCGGGTTCTGGATTATCTGCTGCAGACAGGTCCGCACCCTCCGTCCTTCGCGTCACTTTAAAGCGCCTCAGTGCTTCAAAGCCAAACAAAACAAGCAGCCCCCCGCTCTCAGGGCAACCCTGCTAGTTCACCCCCACTTTGTTCCAGACGTTGTGGGGGGAATGACTATGTTAAAGAAATTGGGCTTTTTTTCTTTTTAAGCACACATCAGTAAGCCAGTGGAGGCACCCTAACTGGAAAGCAAGAGGATGACCAAATCCTTTAAGCTACTTATGGCAGGCAAACCCGCAACAGTCGCCCTGTCATTATTTGCTGTTGTCACCTGCTCATCGCAGGGTAACAATGATGCGATCACTTCATTTTCATTAAGGGTAGTTGACTTTGCTGTCAACGAAGCGCAGGCCTAACTGCTCTCATTGAAGTGACAGGGCATCCTCTTGGGGAAAAGAGCCACTTTATTCTTAAGAGGCTGGTGAAGACATTTAGTGCGTGAAGACATTTTGTCTGAGTGCGTTCTAAATCATTTCTAGACCAACAGTGATGCCATTTGGTTTATAATTTCTTCTCTTTTTTTTTGTAATTTAGGAAAATTCTATTTCCATTCCTTCGTAACAAATGTTGTATTTCTTCAAAGATCAACAGACAATGCTTCCGCTGGCACTAGCAGAATCCTCCCACAGAGCGCACATAGTGTACATTCAATTTTATTTTTATCTATGCTGAAACACAGCCAGTAGTGGCAACAAAGCCCACAGACTGTAGAAATTTGTTTGTGACTGATTTAGTAGAGTTGTTTGAAAACCACAGGGTTAATTGGAATAATGCACTCTGCTGCTTCTAGCATATTCGGCACAGTGGCTCTTTCCTGCCATCTTTCACTTTTATCTAATTCCTGCCTAAAAGTATGCAAAGAAGTTTTTCTATTAATAGTGGCCTACAACACTAAGGAAAACACAAAGCAACGTAAGCAGATAGTTGTCTGAAACCCCAAGAATCTTTGTCAGCAGTGCCTGCCAAAGCAAAGTATCACAACAGTTTCTAGCATTGTATGTTCAAATGTCAGTTTTCATAAACATTTTTATCTGTGTTTTTACACAGCTACATGCAACACGTAGCGAGCTGTAATTTAACAGACTGGGCCCACAGATCTTCCCTGTCTGCAAGACTCCCGACCTGCACAAAACGCCGCCCCGGGGCCCGGCACCGTGTCTGACGGCAGACAAGTGCGTTTTGTTGATCCTGTGCTATCTTTGACACACGTCTAGGGATGACCAGAGCGTCCCGGCCCTGCTCCTCCGCGGGGAAGGCGGGTGGCTGTGGCCGCGGTGCCACTGAGGAGGAGGAGGAGGAGGAGCAGGAGGAGGAGGGGGGCTTCGAGGGCCAGCGCACAGCAGGGTGCCCACGGAAGCCTCGGCTTGCTAACGCCTGCTGCTCTGCAGTGCCTGTCCAGCCGCCGCGAGCAGCACAGCAGCCCCAAGGGAACGCTTTGTTTGCTCAGGTACTAAGGAGCAACGTTTTGTTTACATTATCTATTTTTCAGCATAAAAAGTGAAGCTTTGCTACTGCACATCCCTGCTGTGCTGGGAGCACAGTCGTGTCAAACACACACACACACACACACACACACACGCAGTGGTGCTCGCCCCAGTTAACCCCGAGCCTGGCTCCAGAGCCCCGGCCGGCCAGGGCCACTGCCACGGTCACAGTCACGGCCACGGCCACGGTCACGGGCGCCTTCCCGCAGCCCCGTCCCGCGCCGGCTCTGGGCCCCCCTCGAGCGACGCCTTGGGAACGCGGCTCCGCGCCGGCCTTCATGACCCTTCCCCAGCGGCCCGTGTCCCACACGGGGCTCGGGCTGCTCTTGATGGAGGCAGGAACAGGAGGCTCTGGAGGAGCGCACGGCCGCGTTCCCCATCCCCGTGCGCATAATGCAGCCGCACACGCGCGGGCGGGCAGGGGCTCTGCTTTCTTTCCAGGGGATAATAGCAAGCTAAACGCTTGCAAATTAATCTCCTGCTTGTCTGCTGCTCCATGACTGCTATCGGTGAACACCACTTATTTAGTTAAAATATTTAACTGCATCTCAAAGCAATCCCTTGAATTTGGAACGCACCCAAAAACCTATCAGGCACTATCAAGACAGGCA